CTGATCTTTTGCAGCGTGCGCATCCGTCAGATGCACACTCTTCTCTTTCTGTTCCTTCAACCAGAACAAAGGATTCGAGAAAACCTACACAGATCGGATAACGACAAGCATAGAAATAAGAGACAATGGCGAGAGATCAAAAAACATATGGACGGCCTAAATTTAGGTTATCGAAATTTAAGAAGTTGAAGGTCCCGCTAAGCGCGTCTTCCAAATTCTATTAGGGATGGTACTGCATAACATGATAACATTGCTATTCCGATTTTACACATATTTCATCAAGTCTAACCATGGCAAAATCGACATGACGCACTTTTGCAGTTTTGTGTTCTGTTAGTATGTAGCGATGATTCCCCAGTCTGCATATGAAAGGGGCCGGAGATAAAAAAAGAAATGCAGCGCTTCAGGAATAAAACATAGACTAGAGATATTTACACTCACGTGCACGGCCGTCAAGTTGGTTAAACGTGCTGAGGCAGAGCAGCCCCGTCCAAAAAGTTGGAAAATGTGGCAAAATTAACCCCAAGTCTGAAACTGCACATTAAAAAAATGCGTCTGGGGTGGTATGTCTGTAATTGCCAGCCTTTTTACATTTTTGACTCAGAGCCCAGGAATGCACAAACAATGCCTATTAAGATCCCATTCATTATTATTATTTTCTTTTCTTTTTTTTTTTCAAACTGGTCTCAGCTTGTCATCAAAAAGCCTTCATTATTACCCTTCTTCTCTATTAGGAATCATAAGAGTGATTTTCCAAAGGAGGTGGAATCTCCAAACTGCCACATATCTTTAAAAAAAAAAAGAAAGAAAAGAAAAAAAGACGAGACAGGCACCTTACTGGCGACAGTCTAATAAATACATGCGCTGGCAGCTAAACAGGTATTTACTGGGCTCCAAACCACAAGTATAATTTCACTCTTTGCTGAGCTGTTATTTCACTGCAGCGTTCATTATGGCGGTGGTAAAGACGATGAATGGTTTTACCCTAGATATCAGTCTCGCCTTCCCAAGCAAACCAAAAACACAGACAGACCAACCAGGATGTTCGCGTTAATGTACCTTGGGCTGGGGAAATTCTGGAGCCCCCTGAAGCCTGCACAGTTGGGCTCCTTTTGTTTTCCCTCCTCCCGTGGAAAAGGGAGGCGACTGAAACACGGATGAGTTGAAGCCCTGTCATTTATAAGGGGACAAACCAGGTGTGACAGAATGGAAATAATTCATCAAGGACTGGATGGTTTGATTATGCTCTGAGGTGCTTTTCTCCCTCACCTCCAACCCACTGATGCACTGGGTGGGTTAATTGGTCTCAAAGGGTCTGAGGATATATGTTGTTTCACTCTCTCGCCCTTCCTCTCACTCTCGCTCTACTGTTCAGTCATAGCAGCATGTACATCTTTTGTAAAGAATCAAACCGCTGCGCTCTGACCACCCTCGCTGACGCAGCTTCACTCTTGCCTTGTGCAAAGTCGTGCTGTCTGACAATTTGGAGGCCAATTAAGCAGGAATCTTACGCTGAGATGTGGCCTGATTGAGGGTGGGGTGGGGGGCTATTGGCTTGTTTCTGAATCTCTAAACACACTTTGACTTCCTGCAGTTACTGGCAAGACTTCAGCATGCACTACTTTCATTTTAGGGGACTGATATAGTGACCTACATGTGCCCCAAGTTCACAAATACACACATGCAAACATTCTGCTATTTAAACAGACAAAGGAGGCTGTACTCAATACAGCTCTATGACAGTGCAATGTATCAGAACTGTATTCTTAATATTTCAATATTATATGTGATCTTAACAATACTCATATCATCAGTCATAATTATTCTTCACTAATTTAAATCATTTAGTGACAAAACTTTGACTTGCACTACTTTCATTTTGAAAGACTGATTTACTGACCTATGCAGGCCCCAAGCGCAAAAACATAGTCCTGTCCAAGAAGGCAGGAGTCATAATAAAGCGTAATAAAGCCATATAATACAACTATGTGAATTCAAACACTTCTATCAGTGGAGTCTTGCTTTCTTTTAAAACACAATGCATATGTATATTTCTCTGATTTAAAACAGTTGCTGGTAAGTCTTTGACGTGCACTGTTTTCATTCTAAGGGACTAATATACAGGCCTATGTGCACCTAAGCACACACATATACAAATATACATATATCAACTGCTGTCTGTAAAATATGTCCATATGTAAGGCTGGGTCCAATATTGTGCCATGGATTAAATTCTTAAAACTATGGCTATTTGTTCTTCACTGATTTTTAAAACAGTGTTCTTCTTATTTAACCTATCAGGTCTTTTTTCCACATCTATCAGCTATTATATGGCAAATAGAACCGCATTACGTAATTAAGGGCCTGCCAATTTCAACCCTTAATAAACTACCTTAGAGAAGGAATAACCTGTATGAAGCCTGTATTCTTCCAGTCTTTATTAGAACACATTCCTCTGTTCATTAGCCTCGTGGCGAGTGACTCAGGGAGATCTGTATCTCTTTATGCAGAGCCGGCTATCACTGTAACGATCACAGTGGCAAGTGTGAAAATGAGGTTAAGTCATGCCAATAAGGAGGGTTAACCTGTTTGAGTCGAGATCAAGGAGATGGGACCGGTTTCACATTAACAAGACTGTATAGATGAGGACCACAAAAAAGAGAGAAGAAAAACAAAATGAGAAGAAGACTAAGAGCAACAGAAGGGGAATTAACGCTCATAATAGTGCCTTTGATCTTAAACAGCACTTACAAGAATTGGCAGTGGCAGTGACAGGAAGAGCTCTGTGGCTCTGTTCTGCGAAATAGTGACCAGACAAACCGCGCTAATTCTACCCGAGGAGAACAAAATCACCTGAAGAACAACAACCTGAAATTGTCACCTCGCTCACTGAGCTAAAAAAAAGAAAAGAAAAGAAATGAGCGAAAGGTGAAATGGTGCAGACAGTACACTGTGCACTAGTTTTTTTTTCCGTACTGCTCAAGATAAACAATGCTTCTTAAACAATGTATCTTAAGCCTTTCAATTTAGTTTACACCTCAGTAAAAGATGAATGTCATTTTTAAATGAATTCTAGGCTTTCAGGGTAAGATATACCTGCATACACTGCTTCAGCAAGGGCAAAAATGTACTGTGTTTGTGCTTGTACAGTACATATCAAATTCACGTTTCATATTCATATCACACTTCAGATTTTCTCTCAGTCTGTATATATTGCTACAGCTGAAATAGTCACCTAAAATCAGCTTGTTTCCAGTGCAAAAATAAACTGATTTTATGTCTGCACTATTCTCACACATTCAGTAGCTGTGTGGTTATGTTGCTTCAGCAATGCAGGCATAATCTTTAACTATAATAAAAAATGAAATGACTTTGTGCCTGTGCCATGAGCACCAGTCACCTGAACAGTTAATATATCATATTAATTTCAGGACCTGTTTGTGTATGAGTTGCTTCAGTAGTGCAGGTATAATCTTTAACTATAATCATCACGTTTCCAGGGCAAAAACAAACTGACTTTGTGCCTGCTCCAGCCGCACCAGCAACTTGTACAGTACATACATCAGACGTATGACCGTTAAATGAGACTTGAAGTGTGTAAGACACTAAAAAAAAAGTGAAGGTGCCCACTCATCCCTCAGACCGCACTTCCATTTCCAAGAAAAGAACTGCGGGATGGAGCCATATCCCGGAGCGATGCTTTCTCTACGCATGCATTTTCAGCATCCATCATCAATTGAATCTATGTATAGTTGTATATACGTGACAGCTGTCGGAAGAGGGTGGACGGCTAGATTTAACTTAGACAGAATAAGGTCTGGGTGACAAAGTCTGTCTGTTTATCACAGTTATGCAAGTTTGAAAGGGATCACAGACGGACACATGTGGACAAGATATCTGCATTTAATTTAAAAAAAGAAAAAGAAAAACAAGGTGTAGAATCTACATCCTACAAAAGATGAAGACCAAAATATAGTGGTCTGTGAATCAAACAATTGTGTCCAGAGTATAAAGGCCAATTAATTTTGTACACAGACTTAACTCATAAGCTCAATACTTGCATGGATTTTTTTCTTTTATACTGACAGTCTGTCCTTTTGCATCAGATTTTACACATCCACCAGGAAAATCCCACAGACGTGGTGCTGTCAGTTCACCTAGCACCAAGTTTTTGGCAAACGTGGACCAAATATGAGGAGAACAGCACGAATCATGAATTGTTTAACTGCCTTGGTTGTGAAGAGAAGTGTTTAAGAATTGAGTGCATACCTTTTTTCCTGGCCTTATCTATTCTTTATCAAGTGATTGATGAAAGAGGACAGCAAAAGGATGTGACAGTGAGTTATGAAGGCTCATCAATAATACAGGGAGCTTGTTTTTGGAGCAGGTGCTGTTGTAGCTGCTAAGTTGTGAAGGTTTTCAGTCATGCAGGTCATTGAATTGGCTAGTAGTAACTTAGTGAGTGACGTTTGAGTGGCCTGTGGTAAAATGCCTTTAGGATTAATACACTCTTAAAAAAGACGGTTCTTTAGTGAAGGCAATGGATCTATTTAGAACCATAAGTTACATAAAGAACCATTTGCATGCTTAAACGGTTCTATGCATGGTGAAACTGTTCTTCAGATTGATTGGGAATGTGTTGAATATGGTTCTACATAGAACCTTTTTGAAAGTGCTTCTCTATAGCACCAAAAAGGGTTCTTGTGTCGTTACAAGCTTAACATCGTATCACTAACAGAACCAAGAACCATTTTCAGAAAGGTTCTACACAGAATCACATTCAACACAGTCTCCCTCAGTCAGATAAACAATTTCACCATGCAGAGAAGCATTTAAGCATTAAGTGGTTATGCACAGACCTCATGGTTCTAAACAGCACCATTTTTTACTAAAGAACCCTTGGAGAACCGTCTTTTTTTAAGAATGCACTACAGGTAAGCCGCCTTACCAATAACTTAAACGTTAACGGCAACATTTACCTCAGAGAAGTCAGCACTCACCTCGTTTTTGCGTTGTTTTGCTCTCTTTTCTTTCTCCTTTCTCCCATCCAAAGTGAAACCAGCTCGTCTCTCTTCGTTCTTCCCACCTTGACAGGTTCGAAAAAAGCGAGAAAAGTCCTTCAAAATGAACAAAACAAACGAAAAAGACGCGCACAGACCCTGACAAACAGCGAGCGTTACGGGGTCGCTAACGGTCAACGCGCGCGCACACGTCAAATCGCTTCTAGAATTCTTTTTCAAAACACAAAAAGTTGGGAGGCGCGCGGCAACGCGGCGCGAGAAATGCGGGCAGCGCGGGACCTGCGGTCCGGGATAGAGCTGAAGGAGTGGGAGGGGGAGGAGGAGGAAGGGGGTGTAGGGGGGGTGCAGAAAAGGGGGGTGAGAAGTAGGGGGGAGGTGGGGGCAGGTATAAAAAGCGAACCGCCCCGTCCCCGCCTCGACTCGCTCTCTCGCTCTTTCACGTCTCCTCTCGCTCGTGCCCCACTTTGATTTCGCTCGTGCGGCGTCCTACCACTCTCTCCAGGGAAACAGAACGCTGTGGTGTTTTTTTTCCACGCCCGTATTCCATCAAGCCCCGCCCCCTCCCGCGCTGGGATTGACTACAACAGGCAGAGCCGCTTGTAATGATGAACTACTTAGCCAATCACAGCACAGGGGGGCGGGGTTTGTCGGAAAGCGGGTGGGGAAGAAAAAAGACATCCTTGAATATGAGCTGCTGGGCAGGAGACGGGATACAGCCAGCGCGAGCGCAGGAAGCGAACTTTTTGTCTGCGTCCAAAACCGTGTAGTACCAAAATAAACAGTGCGTCAAAACAGCACATCAATCATACACGGCGCCATTCATTATTATAGTACCTACAGTATGTACAGTGTAGTATACACACTTCTTCAAGGGTTCTTTAGTAAAGGCAGTGGTTCTGTATAGAACCATGAGAGCTATGTGGAACCATTTCATGCTTAAATGGTTCTCTGCAGGGTAGAAATGGTTTGGTGTGTTGTATATGGTTCTATATATAGAATTTTTTTTGAAAATGGTCCTATATAGCACCAAAAGGTGTTCTTCCATTATTACGTTGTCAAGCTTGTAACAACAGAAGAACGCTTTTTAATGCTATCTAGAACCCTTTCCAAAAAAATTCTATATAGATCTCGTGGCTCTAAATAGAACCATTCTTCTTACTAAAGAACCACTGCAGAACTATGCTTTTTAAGAATGTGTTGTATAGTATAGTAAAATGTGTGTTTTGGACATACATCAGAATACCAGTGGAAAAAAAACGCGGGAAAACAGGACGGCGCGAGGAGAGGGGCGGAGCCAACAGGAGAACCGTTAAAACTCCTCAGATTTTTTTTCACACAAAATCCGCGTTTAAGTGTAAAAAAGGTACGAAATCGCTTTAAACCTTTAAATCTGCTACTTTAACAGTGTCTGCTGTCACGTACGGTCACAGGTATTTAAAGCTTACATTGTTTCACTCTACTTTCTGAAGACGTAAAGAAAAATATGACATTTCAGGTGATGTCTTTAGATATATGAAGCGCTCCTGTAAACCCTCGTCATGGAAAGAGGAAAACACTTCGAGCTGACAGAGATTTAATGCTGTTTATGCTAATATATGTCAAACAAAACCTATATATTAAATATTACACATTAAAAATGTAATATTTACTATATAATCAAGAGATTATAATATTATAATAATTATTTTTACCTGTTTGGACTTGTTAAAACGTCTGATAACAGTTTTAATCCTTTTTGTTTGTTTGTTTGTTTTTTAAAGGGAAGAAACATGCAATGGACAAAATAAAAAGCACAGAGATATTCTGTATATACAGCCTAGTGAAATGAGTCATGGCCGTATTCTCTGTTTTTGAACTGAGAGTGATGAGGTGGGTAAAACAGGTGCCCTGAGCTGATCTTTCCTTGTGAGCATTAAAGGGGAAAATCAACATCACGATATCTTCAGTGCACTGGAACAGAAATTCTCCATGAAGAGCAGATTTCCAAAGGCAAAGGGGACTTTTATAGCATTAAACTGGAGCCTACAGTCTGTAGCTCTTATTTAAAAAATAAAATAAAACAAAATAAGGGTGTTTTTTTTTTTTGCACTGGTTGCTTCCACACAAGCACTGAAACCCATCACAGCACAGAGAATGAGAGACTCGTTTTACACGGATAATATACAGAAATAGAGTTAACCGTTATTGGTTCATTTAAATGCGTGTTCATTCACGCCTTTCTTCTATTTATTTATTCGTTCATCTTTTCGTTCATTCATTCATTCAGTGCATATAAATGCTGTGAGCTGAGATCTCAGGTTGAAGGCTACCCAGAAGCACACACTTGTTGCCGTTGGTCAGCTCTCTTGGTTTCCGGTTCTTTTCTCTGTCGTACCGCGATGCAGTAAGGAAAAAAACACTACCCTTAACCCCCCTCCCTTAACCCCCTCCAACAAACACCACCACCAAACCTGCAGCTGATGTGCAGCCCGAGCTTCATCCTGCGGAAACAAGAGTGAAGAGGAGGTGCAGAGAGTCCAGCAGCTCTGAGCTCTTAAACTGGGTCACTCTCACTCTCCTCTGCAGGACCTCGGGGGAAAGAACTCTCTTAAAGGGGATTTTCAACATTTCTGCATAATGCAGTGGTTGAGATGTCATTCAGGCTGTTTTTTATGTGAAATGGTTGATTGTAGAGGCTCTGGTGGTGATAGGAACCAGAGGTCACCATGACTACAACACAAATATAGAGATTTTATTTACCATCCCAAAACCAGCAGTGAACCTACACGAGTCTTCTGAGTTTTATATGCAATGTTGATGATGGTAAAATAGTCATGAATCTGAAAGAATAAGTTTTCTTTGGGGACTATTTTGCCTCACAACGCCCTGCATGTACCCCTCCGCCATGGATGGAATAAAATAAATTGATTCAAACTACAGTGTCTCAGACATCAGGCAATGTATTCTTAACCATTTTATGTAATAACTTTCTGTGAGGGAGCTTTTAGACGTGGACGTCTGGTTCCATTCATTCTAACGGACCACTTCACATCAAAACACTGAATGATTTTGTTCACATGTTAATCGTGTAATTATGCGGAAATTTTGAAAAATCGGTGGAGCTCCCCTTTAAATAACATTTAATAACACCAGACAAATCAGGTGCTTCAGAAGAGCTTGTATCCCTCCTGAAACTGACGCTATAGACTAATGAATCTCTCTCTCTTTCTTTCTCTCTCTCTCTCTCTCTCTCTCTCTCTCTCTCTCTCTCTCTCTCTCTCTCCTTTTTTAACGTTAGTCGTTGCTCGTTATCGGCAGATTGGAGCTGTTTCTCAGAAAAAGTCGCCCAGTCGTGGTTTTGGGACTCCACAAAAGCCATAAAAAAGTTTCATCTGTCACCGTCACACCTCTGTTTTTCTTTTTCTCTGTATGAATCACTGCCGCACATTGATTTCAGTGCGTGTGAGGTGCTGATAGCGATGAGATAATAATAATAATAATAATCCACCTGCACTGTAAATGTCAGTCTGGCTCATTTCACGTTAGTGCTAACGTTTACATAGAACGAGCACAAACTTAAGGCGAGCTGAGCTGACTTTGGTTTGTGCGATTCCTTTCGTGGCCACAAGAGGGGGCGTGTGGGCGCAGCTGCAGATGAGCAGAGCACATGGGGTCAAACTCAGGGTCTGGTGGGCAGTTTACAGTGGGGACGCTGGAAATATGCCCTCCACCACCACATTTTGAGAGCTGAGTTTGTTGAAAAGCTTAGAAAAAACTGTCCAAACACTTAATAAAGACCATCAGCATGTTTTTTTTAAGTCATTCCTCACTACTGAACGGAAATTCCACCGATTTTTCAAACTTTCTGCACAGTTTAATCACTGAGGCATAAACACAGTCATTCAAAGTGGTTTGATGTGAAATGGTTCATTGTAGAGAAACGGACTGATTTCTTTATAGGAACCAGCGGCTGCAAAGTCTACAAACATTTACTTTACATTTTATTTACTGTCCAAAACCACCACTGAGTTCTGAGTTTATATGTAACATTTATGATGATAAAAATAGTGATAACTGAAACTGAAATCTGAAACTTTTCTTTGGGGATTCTTTTGCCTTACTGCACCCTGCATGCACCTCTCGTCTTAAAAATACAGTTTACAAAACTTATTAAAACTATCATAAAACAATGTCTCAGGCATCAGGCGGCATATTCAAAGCCATTCAGTGTAATAGCTTACTGTGAGGGAGCTTTTGGAGGTGGATGTCTGGTTCCATTCACCACCACTGTGAACAGTTCTGACTGCAAGTTTCTCTAGAACAGGGCACTTCACCCCAAACCACTCTGAATGGCTTTGTTCTCAGCTTAACTATGCAGAAATTAAGCAGAATTTTTTAAAAATCTGTGGAATTCCCCTTTAAATTGACATATGACGACAATATACAGACACATACAGAACAGTTGTTCTTATTGATCATGGAAGTTTCTACTCTCTCGCTTCTCCCCAGCACTTTTCAAAACAAAGTTAGGCCAATGGAACAGAACTGTAGATATCAGCTCCGTCAAGAAAACAAACGTATTAATGAGAGAAATGCTGAACTGTGCAGTTTATTTGAGTTTGAGATACAGTCCTAAATGGAAAGTCTAACCACTTGGCAGCTATTTTAGCCCAGGGGAAGATATTTCCAGGCAATAAACCTGACCTATATATGTGAAATCTCAGGGCTTACATTTCAAAAACATTTGAAATCACTGGTAAAATGTGGGGAAAAACTGCAAAAAATAGTTTGTGCACAAAAAATTGTGTGAATAAAAAAAGTGAAAACAAGTTAGAAGAACACATTTCAGCAAATTTTAATGCACAATTATTGTTTATTGCCGAAACACACTGGAGTCATAAATGTGACCAGTACAAAATTTATGGAGCATTTAAATTTTTCCTTCTTTATTTTCAAAATATGTCAAACTCAGCAAATAAATAGAAACTATGCACTAGAATTTGCAGGATGTAAGAGGATGTGTTAACTTAGCCCTTAGAAAATCAATATTTATTTTTTCAGGTTGTTGCAGCTACTAAGCATGCACTCTCCAAAAAAGATGTGTGTAGTTAAATGCGGGGTGATGTGGGGTGGTTGGGAGGGGGGGGGTGGTGTTTTCCCCATCTTTTTATGGCTTTCTATATACTGTAACTACTATAACAACTTGAAGGCAAACTTATATAGATACTGACATGACTGTACACCCACGACTCATCCACTTTCTCAACAACATACCTCACCATTTAGCTTCCATCAACACTACACAGACAGAAATGACATCTATTTATCTTCCACTGATTCATAATGATTTTTATTCATGGTATTTCAAAAGGGCCTGCAGAATTGTATATTTATCATTCATAATTCTTGCAAGATTTAAATGATAGATTAAAAAATATGTATTTTATTAAACTGAGTATGTTGGTTTCTCGGAAATTTATGTAAACTTCTTATTTGCCTGAAAG